CTTTTAATTGGTGGATTTAGTATCTTATAGATACAAATTGATAATTAGGTGTCCATGAAGCAAAAATGATCAAAGAGTAAGAAAAGAGTTGCAATTAGGAAAATAAAATCAAATTAGAAGAGAGGATCCCTCAACATCTTCGGTAGTGTCCACGAAGTCGAGCATAACTTTCTCATCCGGACTCCAAATCAACTGGTTCTGGCGGCATTAGAAAGCTATTTTAGTGCGCTACAATTCCTGTCTAATGTCGAATTTCCAAATTCGGACTTGAACATGGTCAAAATTGGATTCCAAAAGCGATCATGAAAATACGTGCAACAGTTCGAGGACACGAATGCGCATCAAGAAACGTGCACAAAAACACTCGCTACAAAATATACGCACATATGTAAAAGTACAAAAGCATGCACAAAAGTACTCACGCAAAAGTGCATTCGCAAAAAGGATCACGAAAGCACAAACTACAATCCTAAGACATTAATACAAATCAACAAACATGCACAAACACACTCGCTCAATGGACATGCACAAACGTACATGTAAAAAAATATGCGCAAAAGTGCATTCGCAACAACGTTCTTAAAATAACGAAATACAACACTAGGACTTTAATACGCATAACCAAACAATATCAAAAACACTAAATACGAAAGATATAATGGAGTGTAGAAATAACACTCAACGTTTACGTTTACGTGGATTTTTTTATGGAATAATTTATATTTTTGTTTTAATTGGTGGATTTAGTATCTTATAGGTACAAAGTGATAATTAGGTGTCCATGAAGCAAAAATGATCAAAGAGTAAGAAAAGAGTCGCAATTAGGAAAATAAAATCAAATTAGAAGAGAGGATCCCTCAACATCTTCGGTAGTGTCCACGAAGTCGAGCATAACTTTCTCATCCGGACTCTAAATCATATGGTTACGGCGGCATTAGAAAGCTATTTTAGCTGGCTAAAATTCCTGTCTTAATGTCAAATTTCCAAATTCGGACTCGAACATGGTCAAAATTGGATTCCAAAAGCGATCATGAAAATACGTGCAACAGTTCGAGGACACGAATGCGCATCAAGAAACGTGCACAAAAACACTCGCTACAAAATATACGCACATAAGTAAAAGTACAAAAGCATGCACAAAGGTACTCACGGAAAAGTGCATTCGCAAAAAGGATACCGAAAACACAAACTACAATCCTAGGACATTAATACAAATCAACAAACATGCACAAACACACTCGCTAAAATGGACATGCACAAACGTACATGTAAAAAAACATGCGCAAAAGTGCATTCGCAACAATGATCTTAAAAACACGAAATACAACACTAGGACTTTAATACTCATAACCAAACAATATCAAAAACACTAAATACAAAAGATAGAGTGGAGTGTAAAAATAACACTGAACGTTTACGTTTACGTGGATTTTTTTATGGATTAATTTATATTTCTTTTTTAATTGATGGATTTAGTAACTTATAGGTACTAACTGATAATTAGGTGTCCATGAAGCAAAAATAATCAAAGAGTAAGAAAAGAGTTGCAATTAGGAAAATAAAATCGAATTAGAAGAGAGGATCCCTCAACATCTTCGGTAGTGTCCACGAAGTCGAGCATAACTTTCTCATCAGGACTCCAAATCAACTGGTTTCGGCGGCATTAGAAGCTATTTTAGCTGGCTACAATTCCTGTCTATGTTATTTTCCAATTCGGACTCGAACATGGTCAAAATTGGATTCCAAAAGCGATCATGAAAATACGTGCTACAGTTCGAGGAAACGAATGCGCATCAAGAAACGTGCACAAAAATACTCGCTACAAAATATACGCACATATGTAAAAGTACAAAAGCATGCACAAAAGTACTCACGCAAAAGTGCATTCGCAAAAAGGATCACGAAAGCACAAACTACAATCCTAAGACATTAATACAAATCAACAAACATGCACAAACACACTCGCTCAATGGACAAGCACAAACGTACATGTAAAAAAATATGCGCAAAAGTGCATTCGCAACAACGTTCTTAAAAACACGAAATACAACACTAGGACTTTAATACGCATAACCAAACAATAGCAAAAACACTAAATACAAAAGATACAGTGGAGTGTAGAAATAACACTAAACGTTTACGTTTACGTTGATTTTTTTATGGATTAATTTATATTTCTGTTTTAATTGGTGGATTTAGTGTCTTATAGGTACAAATTGATAATTATGTGTCCATGAAGCAAAAATGATCAAAGAGTAAGAAAATAGTTGCAATTAGGAAAATAAAATAAAATTAGAAGAGAGGATCCCTCAACATCTTCGGTAGTGTCCACGAAGTCGAGCATAACTTTCTCATCCGGACTCCAAATCAACTGGTTCCGGCGGCATTAGAAAGCTATTTTAGCGCGCTACAATTCCTGTCTAATGTCAAATTTCCAAATTCGGACTCGAACATGGTCAAAATTGGATTCCAAAAGCAATCATGAAAATACGTGCAACAGTTCGAGGACACGAATGCGCATCAAGAAACGTGCACAAAAACACTCGCTACAAAATATACGCACATAAGTAAAAGTACAAAAGCATGCACAAAAGTACTCACGGAAAAGTGCATTCGCAAAAATGATCACGAAAACACAAACTACAATCCTAGGACATTAATACAAATCAACAAACATGAACAAACACACTCGCTCAAATGGACATGCACGAACGTACATGTAAAAAAACATACGCAAAATTGCGTTCGCAACAACGTTCTTAAAAACACGAAATACAACACTAGGACTTTAATACGCATTACCAAACAAATCAAAAACACTAAATACGAAAGATACAGTGGAGTGTAGAAATAACACTCAACGTTTACGTTTACGTGGATTATTAATATTTTTGTTTTTATTGGTGGATTTAGTATCTTATAGGTACAAATTGATAATTAGGTGTCCATGAAGCAAAAATGATCAAAGAGTAAGAAAAGAGTTGCAATTAGGAAAATCAAATCAAATTAGAAGAGAGGATCCCTCAACATCTTCGGTAGTGTCCACGAAGTCGAGCATAAATTTCTCATCCGGACTCTAAATCAACTGGTTATGGCGGCATTAGAAAGCTATTTTAGCTGGCTACAATTCCTGTCTTAATGTCAAATTTCCAAATTCGGACTCGAACATGGTCAAAATTGGATTCCAAAAGCGATCATGAAAATACGTGCAACTGTTCGAGGACACGAATGCGCATCAAGAAACGTGCACAAAAACACTCGCTACAAAATATACGCACATAAGTAAAAGTACAAAAGCATGCACAAAGGTACTCACGGAAAAGTGCATTCGCAAAACGGATCACGAAAACACAAACTACAATCCTAGGACATTAATACAAATCAACAAACATGCACAAACACGCTCAAATGGACATGCACAAACGTACATGTAAAAAAATATGCGCAAAAGTACATTCGCAACAACGTTCTTAAAAACACGAAATACAACACTAGGACTTTAATAGGCATAACAAAACAATAGCAAAAACACTAAATACAAAAGATACAGTGGAGTGTAGAAATAACACTAAACGTTTACGTTTACGTTGATTTTTTTATGGATTAATTTATATTTCTGTTTTAATTGGTGGATTTAGTGGCTTATAGGTATAAATTGATAATTATGTGTCCATGAAGCAAAAAATGATCAAAGAGTAAGAAAAGAGTTGCAATTAGGAAAATAAAATCAAATTAGAAGAGAGGATCCCTCAACATCGTCGGTAGTGTCCACGAAGTCGAGCATAACTTTCTCATCCGGACTCCAAATCAACTGGTTCTGGCGGCATTAGAAAGCTATTTTAGTGCCCTACAATTCCTGTCTAATGTCAAATTTCCAAATTCGGACTCGAACATGGTCAAAATTGGATTCCAAAAGCGATCATGAAAATACGTGCAACAGTTCGAGGACACGAATTCGCATCAAGAAACGTGCACAAAAACACTCGCTACAAAATATACGCACATATGTAAAAGTACAAAAGCATGCACAAAAGTACTCACGCAAAAGTGCATTCGCAAAAAGGATCACGAAAGCACAAACTAAAATCCTAGGACATTAATACAAATCAACAAACATGCACAAACACACTTGGTCAAATGGACATGCACAAACGTACATGTAAAAAAATATGCGCAAAAGTACATTGGCAACAATGTTCTTAAAAACACGAAATACAACACTAGGACTTTAATACGCATAACCAAACAATAGCAAAAACACTAAATACAAAAGATACAGTGGAGTGTAGAAATAACACTAAACGTTAACGTTTACGTTGATTTTTTTATGGATTAATTTATATTTCTGTTTTAATTGGTGGATTTAGTATCTTATAGGTACAAATTGATAATTATGTGTCCATGAAGCAAAAATGATCAAAGAGTAAGAAAAGAGTTGCAATTAGGAAAATAAAATCAAATTAGAAGAGAGGATCCCTCAACATCTTCGGTAGTGTCCACGAAGTCGAGCATAACTTTCTCATCCGGACTCTAAATCAACTGGTTACGGCGGCATTAGAAAGTTATTTTAGCTGGCTACAATTCCAGGTTCATCCGTTGTGTCTTCACTCTATAGCACGGTGTGGAAGCGCATGTGCCGTGTCCGAGAGCGTGTTCAAGCTCAAATATTTTGGCGGATTGGTCCAGGTCATGTTTATTTCTGGCACGACCACTGGTTTGGCGATGGTCCCCTTTCGGGCATTATTGATGGTGGTCGGCTAACGTCAGTTCATGTGGAGTATTATTTGGTTAACGGTCAGTGGGATCGAAACAAGCTTGCTGAGGATATTCCTTTTGAGTGGATCGATAGGATTTGCTCGGTCCCAATCTCTGGTGCTTCGTGTGATTTGCCCATTTGGAGAGCTTCTTCGGATGGCAAGTTTTCCTTGACCTCGGCTTGGGCCTTGATACGACAGCAGCATACCCCTACCCCTCTTCTTCGTATATTTTGGGGATCTTGTCTTACTCCTACAATTTCTATCTTTCTTTGGCGTCTCCTTCTTCAGCGTCTTCCAGTGGATACCAAACTTCAGTCTCGAGGCACCTCTCTTGCCTCGAGGTTCTATTGTTGTCCAGATCCATCTATTCCTGTGTCGAGTCTTGTATCTCAGTCTGTCGAGTCTCCTTCTGTTGAGTCGATTGATCATATCTTCGTGGAGAGCCCGACGGCTAAGAGGGTATGGCATCATTTTTTCTATCTTTTTGGCTATACACCTGCACACACTACGCACATACCCCAGATTTTACTTTATTGGCAGCACTTCACTTCGCACACACTCACACACCACACACACATCACGACCATTGTGCCTTGCTTGATCTTGTGGTACTTATGGATTGCAAGAAATGACAGCAAGCACAAGGATATCACGGTTCGCGCTTCTTCCATCATTTACAGGGTCATCCAGCACATCAGGATTCTTCACCAAACCAACTTACTTTCGGCGGACAGCTGGACTGGCATTCCCCACGTGGCTGAGTCTCTTGGCCTATATTACCGAGTCAGAACACCAACTCTCACACCTCATCGAGTTGTTTGGCTTCCACCGGATCCGGGTTGGGTGAAGCTAAACACAGACGGAGCACGTAGAGCATCCACCCAGATTGCAGCTATTGGCGGGATTATCAGAGGTTCGGACGCTGAGGCCATAGTTGCATTTCAAGAGAGGATCTCTGCCCCGAGCAGTATTGCGGCCGAGCTTGCTGCCCTTGCCTCGGGGCTGCGATTTGTTATTCAGAGGCAATTCACTAGAGTTTGGATCGAGCTTGACGCAGAAGTCGTTGTTCGACTTCTTTCGCACACGGACGAAGGTCATTGGAGTCTTCAGAGTTCTCTCACGGCGATCCGGAACTCTCTTTCTACTTTGGAGTACAGGATTACACATATCTACCGGGAGGGCAATAAAGTAGCTGATGCATTAGCTAACTTGGGGTGTCAGACCGAGTTGGCTCGTACCTTCACAACAGCGGAACTTCCCCGACCTATTCAGCAGATGATTCGGATGGACCAGCTTGGATATCCATCCTTTCGACGACAGTCTCGCACATAGGTGCCACGCATTCCACGTTTTTATATTATTAGCAATTTAGGAATTTTCGTGAACTTTACATGTTAGGAAGGGTTGGGGTGATTATGGATTGTTTGGGTCTATCAAGACTAGACTGTTTGCCGAATGGTGCCACACATTTCGCAGCCGTTATACCTGTTTCGCCCATTTTTGGCGAAAGTGTAAGTGGCCTCGGCTGTTATGGTGAGGCGAACGGTCTACCTTGGTCTTCCCCGACCTTCTATGATCATTCCCACCCCGTCCTTTTTATTATTTGGGCCACCTGTTTTGCCCGTTTTCTTAACGTTTTGTTAGTTACCTATTGTCTTTTGTTTGTCAATTGCTATTATTAGCCATATGTTGGGCAATAGCAATTTGAGCGAAACTCATTATGTACTTCTTAAATTTTGTTTTATAAACAGGTAGGGGGTCAAGCCTAACCCCCCACCCTCATTGGGTGTCGTTCTCTTAAAAAAAAAAAAAAAAAAAAAAAATCCTGTCTTAATGTCAAATTTCCAAATTCGGACTCGAACATGGTCAAAATTGGATTCCAAAAGCGATCATGAAAATACGTGCAACAGTTCGAGGACACGAATGCGCATCAAGAAACGTGCACAAAAACACTCGCTACAAAATATACGCACATAAGTAAAAGTACAAAAGCATGCACAGAGGTACTCACGGAAAAGTGCATTCGCAAAAAGGATCACGAAAACACAAACTACAATCCTAGGACATTAATACAAATCAACAAACATGCACAAACACACTCGCTCAAATGGACATGCACAAACGTACATGTAAAAAAACATGCGCAAAAGTGCATTCGCAACAATGATCTTAAAAACACGAAATACAACACTAGGACTTTAATACGCATAACCAAACAATATCAAAAACACTAAATACAAAAGATAGAGTGGAGTGTAAAAATAACACTAAACGTTTACGTTTACGTGGATTTTTTTATGGATTAATTTATATTTCTGTTTTAATTGATGGATTTAGTATCTTATAGGTACTAATTGATAATTAGGTGTCCATGAAGCAAAAATGATCAGAGAGTAAGAAAAGAGTTGCAATTAGGAAAATAAAATCAAATTAGAAGAGAGGATCCCTCAACATCTTCGGTAGTGTCCACGAAGTCGAGCATAACTTTCTCATCCGGACTCCAAATCAACTGGTTTCGGCGACATTAGAAAGCTATTTTAGCTGGCTACAATTCCTGTCTAATGTAATATTTCAAAATTCGGACTCGAACATGGTCAAAATTGGATTCCAAAAGCGGTCATGAAAATACGTGCTACAGTTCGAGGAAACGAATGCGCATCAAGAAACGTGCACAAAAATACTCGGTACAAAATATACGCACATATGTAAAAGTACAAAAGCATGCACAAAAGTACTCACGCAAAAGTGCATTCGCAAAAAGCATCACGAAAGCACAAACTACAATCCTAGGACATTAATACAAATCAACAAACATGCACAAACACACTCGCTCAAATGGACATGCACGAACGTACATGTAAAAAAACATGCGCAAAATTGCGTTCGCAACAACGTTCTTAAAAACACGAAATACAACACTAGGACTTTATTACGCATTACCAAACAATATCAAAAACACTAAATACGAAAGATACAGTGGAGTGTAGAAATAACACTCAACGTTTACGTTTACGTGGATTATTTATATTTTTGTTTTAATTGGTGGATTTAGTATCTTATAGGTACAAATTGATAATTAGGTGTCCATGAAGCAAAAATGATCAAAGAGTAAGAAAAGAGTTGCAGTTAGGAAAATAAAATCAAATTAGAAGAGAGGATCCCTCAACATCTTCGGTAGTGTCCACGAAGTCGAGCATAAATTTCTCATCCGGACTCTAAATCAACTGGTTATGGCGGCATTAAAAAGCTATTTTAGCTGGCTACAATTCCTGTCTTAATGTCAAATTTCCTGTCTTAATGTCAAATTTCCAAATTCGGACTCGAACATGGTCAAAATTGGATTCCAAAAGCGATCATGAAAATACGTGCAACAGTTCGAGGACACGAATGCGCATCAAGAAACGTGCACAAAAACACTCGCTACAAAATATACGCGCATAAGTAAAAGTACAAAAGCATGCACAAAAGTAGTCACGGAAAAGTGCATTCGTAAAAAGGATCACGAAAACACAAACTACAATCCTAGGACATTAATACAAATCAACAAACATGCACAAACACACTCGCTCAAATGGACATGCACAAACGTACATGTAAAAGAACATGCGCAAAAGTGCATTCGCAACAACGTTCTTAAAAACACGAAATACAACACTAGGACTTTAATACGCATAACCAAACAATATCAAAAACACTAAATACGAAAGATATAGTGGAGTGTAGAAATAACACTCAACGTTTACGTTTACGTGGATTTTTTTATGGAATAATTTATATTTTTGTTTTAATTGGTGGATTTTGTATCTTATAGGTACAAAGTGATAATTAGGTGTCCATGAAGCATAAATGATCAAAGAGTAAGAAAAGAGTTGCAATTAGGAAAATAAAATAGAATTAGAAGAGAGGATCCCTCAACATCTTCGGTAGTGTCCACGAAGTCGAGCATAACTTTCTCATCCGGACTCTAAATCAACTGGTTACGGCGGCATTAGAAAGATATTTTAGCTGGCTACAATTCCTGTCTTAATGTCAAATTTCCAAATTCGGACTCGAACATGGTCAAAATTGGATTCCAAAAGCGATCATGAAAATACGTGCAACAGTTCGAGGACACGAATGCGCATCAAGAAACGTGCACAAAAAATTCGCTACAAAATATGCGCACATAAGTAAAAGTACAAAACCATGCACAAAAGTACTCAAGGAAAAGTGCATTCGCAAAAAAGGATCACGAAAACACAACCTACAATCCTAGGATATTAATACAAATCAACAAACATGCACAAACACACTAGCTCAAATGGATATGCACAAACGTACATGTAAAAATACATGCGCAAAAGTGCATTCGCAACAACGTTCTTAAAAACACGAAATACAACACTAGGACTTTAATAAGCATAACCAAACAATATCAAAAACACTAAATACAAAAGATACAGTGGAGTGTAGAAATAACACTAAACGTTTACGTTTACGTGGATGTTTTTATGGATTAATTTTTATTTCTGTTTTAATTGGTGGATTTAGTATCTTATAGGTACAAATTGATAATTAGGTGTCCATGAAGCAAAAATGATCAAAGAGTAAGAAAAGAGTTGCAATTAGGAAAATAAAATCAAATTAGAAGAGAGGATCTCTCAACTTCTTCGGTAGTGTCCACGAAGTCGAGCATAACTTTCTCATCCGGACTCCATATCAACTGGTTTCGGCGGCATTAGAAAGCTATTTTAGCTGGCTAATATTCCTGTCTGATGTTATACTTCCAAATTTGGACTCGAACATGGTCAAAATTGGATTCCAAAAGCGATCATGAAAATAATTGCTACAATTCGAGGAAACGAATGCGCATCAAGAAACGTGCACAAAAACACTCGCTACAAAATATACGCACATATGTAAAAGTACAAAAGCATGCACAAAAGTACTCACGCAAAAGTGCATTCGCAAAAAGGATGACGAACGCACAAACTAAAATCCTAGGACATTAATACAAATCAACAAACATGCACAAACACACTCGCTCAAATGGACTTGCACAAACGTACATGTAAAAAAATATGCGCAAAAGTACATTCGCAACAACGTTCTTAAAATCACGAAATACAACACTAGGACTTTAATACGCATAACCAAAAAATAGCAAAAACACTAAACACAAAAGATATAGTGGAGTGTAGAAATAACACTCAACGTTTACGTTTACGTGGATTTTTTTATGGATTAATTTATATTTCTGTTCTAATTGATGGATTTAGCATCTTATAGGTACAAATTGATAATTAGGTGTCCATGAAGCAAAAATGATCAAAGAGTAAGAAAAGAGTTGCAATTAGGAAAATAAAATCAAATTAGAAGAGACGATCCCTCAACATCTTCGGTATTGTCCACGAAGTCGAGCATAACTTTCTCATCCGGACTCCAAATCAACTGGTTCCGGTGCATTAGAAAGCTATTTTAGCTGGCTACAATTCCTGTCTAATGTCAAATTTCCAAATTCGGACTCGGACATTGTCAAAGTGGATTCCAAAAGCGATCATGAAAATACGTGCTACAGTTCGAGGACACGAATGCACATCAAGAAATGTGCACAAAAACACTCGCTACAAAATATACGCACATAAGTAAAAGTACAAAAGCATGCACAAAGGTACTCACGGACAAGTGCATTCGCAAAAAGGATCACGAAAGCACAAACTACAA